GTGTTTTCATGGAAATGTCGACTACAGGAATTGGAGTTTACGGAGGCTACGGGTTTGGGGGGGGAGCCACTGCAGATAGTGGACCGGAAGGTCAAGATGCTGCGGACGAAGGAGGCGCCACTCGTGAAGGTCTTTTGGCGGAGCCAAAGGGTCTCCGACATGACTTGGGAACCTGAGGCAGAGATGCGTAGTACTTATCCTCATCAGTTTACTTGAGCGTTGTACAAACTCTTATATATGACATTGGGTTGTATCAGACTTGCAATTCGGATGTTGTGATGATATGGATATGTTTTGTTGGTGGTAATGGACGCGAGAATGTTCTTGAGAATATCACAAGATTCTGAATTCGATGACGAATTCTTTTTAAGGGGGGAGGGTTTGTAATACCCCGATTCCCAATTTAATTATTTAAATTACTTTCGGGAATAAAGGGAAGGTAAAACAACCCTAAAAGCATAGAGAATCAATGCGAGTTGCCTCTACATACTCTTGTTTCCATCGGGTGACCATAAAATCTCAATAGTTAGTTACTTGGATATGAAAAAGGATATTTACATGAAGATTTAGAAACAAACGGCACTCGATTTGGTTGAGAAATGAGAAAGTTATGAACAAACGAAAATTGAGGAGAACCTGAAAATTACAAAACACGAATTTGTATGAGGTACAGGAGTTGCGAATCTGTTTGCGTCATGCATAGATTTTCAATAATCTATTGCTTGGACATGAAAGAGGACATTCCAAGGAAGGGTTAGAAACAAACGATACGCGATTTGGTTAAGGAACGAGTGAGAAAGGATCGATCGAAAATGGACTATGCAAGTCAGTCGGGACGGACCAGGAACGCAGACCCGACGGATTGAAAGGGCAGAACGGACAGACTGAAGAAGGCAGAACGAACGGACCACAAATCCACGAGGAAATGGGCCGAGACTGGGCTCAGACCGTCCGTTCCAGACCTAGAACGGACGGACTGACAAACAGGGATGGAAGTGGCCAACTTGCTGCCTTGGTCCGTGTTCTTCTCTGCGTTCCCAGGGCCCACCGACGTCAAATTGCCATCCAACCTCGCCAGGACGTTGCAGGCTCGACCATGGACCTGGGCTTGAGCTCATTCCACCTCCCTCACGCGCAATAAACCTTCCTCAATCCCCAGACTCAACCATTTTCGGACTGAAATCAGAGGAAATAGAGAGAGAGAGGAAAGAGAGATAAAGGGGGAGAAAGGAGGAGAGCCAATGCAAGGGGAGCTCGAGAAAACAAGGGGGACATCCCTAGAGTGCCTAGGAGAGGTTTCCGGCGAGGAACAGACCGGAAAATACCATGAATTCCGGCCAAACAAGATCTGAGCCAAAACAGAGGTGAGTGGCTTGAGTTGACTCTGTGTGAGCTCGTTTTCATCCCTTAATCGTGTTATCTCGATGGTTTGTTGCTTGGGTTAGATAGAGGACACTTCAATAAACATTTAACAACAAATGACACGTAATTTGGTAGAAAGATGGGCGAGATATGATCAAACGAAATCGGACCAGAAAGCTATTTCGCGAAAGAGAACAGAGCTAGACCCGACGGTCTTAATGGTCAGACCCGACGGACTGGATGACCCAGACCGGACGGTGACTCCAGTCTGAACGGTCTGTGTTCCAAACCCCAAACATAGACCGAGAGGTCTCGGGACAGCACGGAACGCCTGGACCGACCGGTCCACACCTTGTACCGACCGGTCTAGGGTATAGAACCCATTTTTCGGACGATTTTCGAATCCCGCGTGCGTGAGATGAGTGATTCAACGGTGCGAGTGACTCGTTGCGTGATTATACGGGTTAGTTTGCATGATGTTAAGCGGTAGGTTGGTATGGGACCGGATACCATGATACATGTGATTGTACTGAGGGATATATGCATGATGTGTGCCATGTGTGTAGCTTGCTCGTGCGACGCGAGTCAAGCATGATTGTGTTTGTGGATGGTTGTGGATGCAACCATCACCGTCATGGACTTGACGGGCCAACGTCATGGACTTGACGGGGGTGGATGCGCACCTAGTCATGGACTTGACTAGGATATATGGCTGGACCCTATGGTGGACTCCATACGGGTACAATGAGATAACCGTTGTGTCATGGACTTGATATCGGTAGTCATGAAACGTGACAAACGCAGGAGACACGCATGATCGCATGCGATGCGACGGCCAACGTCATGCGAGTGACGGGCGTGGAGGCGCTCCTAGTCATGCCGCCTTGACTAGGATCTATGGCTAAGCCCTATGGTGGACTCTATACGGGTGTGTTTGTGATTGTTATGATTGTGATGGATGTTATGTGATGATGCATATTTATTATTGTTGCGTGATGATTGTGAATCATCGTTTTAACACCATTCTCGCTGAGAACGGGTTTACCGGGTTTAACCCGGGCTACTCACTAAGCAGTTGTGCTTAACCCTCTGGTTTATATTTTTCAGATCACGAGGATTATGCCTAGTACATCGGACGAAGACGACCTGAGAGAAGCAACATCATGTAGGGGATTTGTATTTTGGACTATGGGACTTGTATTCCCGCGTTTTGTACGGTTATATTATGACTATTCGGACATGTGTTGTTTACGATACTGATCGCTTGTATTTTCCGTTGCTTACTCTGATTTAATTTAAAATGTTTTTGGATTTCGTATTTGCGCTTCCGCGGTTTATTATTTTATTGTTACATCGTCCATGTGAACAACCCGTATACTGTACTCGGGTTACGGGTGTCACAGTCTGTACCCGAATGAATACTTGATCGCCCACTTCTAGTAGGAAATCTCGCGCCTTTTATCTGCATAAGACTTCTGACATTCTTGATCAACCTTCAGGTTAACTTTGATATTTCTGATAACCTCAGTCGTCTCCTCCACAATTTCCGGCCCAAAAGTTCGTCGTTCCCCAATTTCCGTCCAACAGAGTGGTGTCTTACAAGGTCGTCCATATAACGCCTCATAGGGTGGCATACCGATGCTAGTATGAAAACTGTTGTTGTACACAAATTCGCACAACATTAGATGTCGATCCCACGGAATTCTCCAATCCAGTATACACGCTCCCAACATATCTTCGAGCGTTTGGATAGTCCGTTCCGACTGTCCATCCGTCTGTGGGTGATATGTCGTACTCATCTTCAGCTTCGTTCCCAATGCATCCTGTATAGCATTCCATAGTCTTGAATTAAAGCGAGGATCTCTGTCAGAGATAATCTCACTTGGCACTCCATGTAATCGGATGATCTCATCCACATAGATCTGTGCCAATCTCTCAACTGTGTACTCTTGTCGGATCGGTATGAAATGTGTCGATTTGGTTAATCGGTCCACAACCACCCAAATTGCATTCTTCTTCGTCGGAGTGGTTGGCAATCCAACTACAAAATCCATTGCTATAGAGTCCCACTTCCACTCCGGAATCTCTAATGGTTGCAACTTTCCTCCAGATATTTGTCGTTCACCCTTCACTTTCTGACACTCAGACATCGCGCAACAAAATTTGCGACGTTCTTCTTGATGTCGGGCCAAGTATACTAATGTCGTAAACCTCGATACATCTTGCTAGCTCCTGGATGAATTGCTAATCTGGACTGATGAGCTTCTTGCAAGATTTTCTGTCTCAGCTCACCGTTATCTGATACACAAAGCCAATTATGCAGTCTCAATGCTTGGGCGTCATCCAACTGATACCCTTTCTCGCGATATAACTCAATCTCATGTATGTACTTCATGAGTTCTGGGTCACTGCGCTGCTCTGAAATTACCCGTGTTCTCAGATCGGAAAGCTGTTCATCCTCTGCAATTGTCAAATGACCCAATATAACCGACAACTCTGCTATATTCTCTTGTGATGAGGACAATACTTTGATAGCGGACAATATCTTCTTCCAGCTCAATGCATATGACATTTGCTTTACCCCGATGGTAAGCAATTTTCAAGTCATAATCAGCCATCAGTTCTAGCCATCGTCTTTGTCGGAGGTTCAAATCTTTCTGCGAGATGACATGGATTAAACTCTTATGATCGGTGTTGAGTTTAACCTTCTCACCATAAAAAATAAGATCTCCAAATTTTCAGAGAATGGATTATTGCAGCTAGCTCCAGATCGTGAGTCGGATAGTTCTCCTCTTGTCTTTTCAACTGTCTGGATGCATACGCTATCACATGTCCTTCTTGCATTAAAACACAGCCCAATCCTTGTCTCGACGCATCCGTGTACACGTCATACGGAACTCCTGGACGCGGTAACGCCAAAATAGGTGCAGTTGTCAACCTCTTCTTGAGTTCCATGAAACTCTTCTCGCAATCCTTCATCCATTCGAAGCGTACATTCTTTCTCGTAAGTTTCGTCATTGGCTTTGCCAGTTTAGCGAATCCTTCAACGAAACGACGGTAATAGCCTGCTAAACCCAAGAAACTTCGAATTTCGGTCGCATTGTTGGGCGTCTTCCAATCCATTACTTTCTCGATCTTTGCCGGATCAACCTGGATCCCTTGCGCAGACACTACATGACCAAGGAATCTAATTTCTTGCAACCAAAAACCACACTTGCTGAATTTAGCGTATAACTGATTATCCCCCAATCGCCATAAGATCTTCCGCAAGTGTTCTTCATGAGTCTGTTGGTCCGGTGAATATATCAAGAGATCATCAATGAAGATTATCACGAACTCATCGAGATACTCCATGAACACACGGTGCATTAACTGTATGAAGACTGTTGGGGCATTCGTCAACCCAAATGGCATGACCACAAATTCGAAGTGGTCGTACCTCATTCGAAAGGCAGTCTTCTGAATATCCCCATCCTTTACTCGGATCTAGTAATACCCAGAGCACAAATCGATCTTTGAAAACCATTTCTCTCCTTGCAGCTGGTCAAGCAGCTCATCAATTCTCGGCAAGGGGTACCGATTCTTGATGGTCACTTGATTAAGTCCTCGATAGTGAATGCAGAGTCGCATACTACCATCCTTCTTCTTCACAAATAACGCTGGCGCTCCCCACGGTGATACACTTGCACTACAAGAAAAACTGTTATTTGCGACAACCTTTGCGACTGAATGATCTGTCACTCAAACTTTTGCGATGGACAGCGACTAAATAGCGACAGAATTGCGAAAAATAATTTATTTCGCAAACGAACGCAAAATCTGTCGCAAAATTAAGACAGATGACGACACACAAT